TTTAAAAAAAGAAAAAATTTTACATAATGGCCAAGTTTTTGCTTTACTATGATTCTATTGATCATTTTAATAACTTTAAGTTTGTTTTACAAAACTTAAAGTTATTTGGAAAGACAATGGCATTAAACTTTTGCTGCATAATTCTGAATAATTTAAACGATTTATTAAAAAAATATTTTTCTGGTTTGGAATAAAATATTTTTGTCTCTACTCTCTATGTCTAATCAAATACTTGACAATTTGTATGATCTCATATTTGTTTTTGGACAACTTTTATTTGTTAAAATAATATTTTTGGTTTAGATAAGATGTACCTAATGTACGATACACTTGTATATACTTAGCGTAATTTTTTTTTAATGAGTAGTTTAGTATCTCGATAACTATTGCGAAGATCGCAAAATGGTACAGGATTTTTTTGTTCAGTTTGGTCCACATTATCTCCCCACAAGCGCTGTACCATTGAGTACGAAACACCCTGTAAAATAGAATTCACTTAAAATTATTTTAAAAAAGTTATACTTTTACAAATTATATTTTTATTTTACATTTGAATTCACATATGTACAGCACGATGTGCAAAATTCTAATCCAAACGTAATCTGTATAGCGTCTGCGAATCGCGACATGGTTGTGAAATCATTTCGATGAAACAATGTCTACCGTGATTCGCATTCACAGCGCGTACACACGTTATATCTACGTATAAATTAATTGCAATTTGCCGTAACCAGATTGCCTGTAAGCTGGCAGTTGTATGGCCACAATATTCCTCCATAGAAGATATTGCAACCAGAGTAATTGACACTTCCGTATCTTGCTTGCGAAATAATATTCTTCCGGCGAGATGAAATATGGAAGTATTAATCGTGGCCGCCACAGGTGTCAAATATTTTTGTTATTATGTTTTATAAATTTTACAAACGACGTCAATTTTAGCCGTGCTTTTATAAACGATTACAAAGTTTCAACAAACATGAAAAAAAAAAAGAGGGAGAGAGAGAGAGATGGGGGAGGGAGAGAAAGGAAAAAAGGAAAAGGGCTGCTGAATAACGAAAATCCTGCGGCAAAATCGTACAATATATTTCAAAATATTTCTCTCTTGATATTGCAATGTATTTTGATCCGTTTGCATGCTGATATTCAAACTTTCATGTTTCTTTGTTTTTGAATTAAAAAAAAAAAACTCACAAGTTTGCAAATAACTAACATTTTTATTTATAAAAACGAGTAATATGCTGTAAAAGATGCACATAGGAATAAGCCGACAATTATGGTTGCGATTCTCCACTGACACTCCATTTACATTTTACGTTTCTATTAAAAAAAATTTTTTAAAAAGATATTGAATAGTTAAATTTATTTAATTCAATATTAGCGAATTGCTATCTTTAAAAATGATTTGAAATACCAAGCAAAAAGACACCAATGTATTTTTATAAATTTTAATTTGTACGCTTTTATTCTTATTATTATGATAAATGATATTATTTTCATATAAATAATTTCGTATTCGTATCAATTATTACGTTAGTTAGTATAGAAGGGTAGTGAATTTGATACGCTAACGTTATTATCATTCATACGAATTCAGCATTATTTGGTATGTATGGTATGGTTACGCGCAATTTTATCGTGTATTATTGGGTAATTTTATTTTATTTATTTACAGTCAGGTCTACATTACACACACGCAAACATGAAGAATGCACATCATACGCAGTTATTCTACACGTATTATACGACGTTATCGACGCCCGCGCGCCACGTAGAATATAATGTATGATGCATTGCTAGATGATCTATTACTAGATTATATGATCTATTACTAGACGTGTTTACTTGGCTCGCAGACGATGAACAGGGGAACTATGCTACTCTATGGATTACGTATCAAAATTAGAAACATGACTTCCTGATGTTATTTTCATGTGCAGAGCGATGGGACGCTGGCTATGTGAGCTAAAGAGAAAGAGAGGAGAGAGAGAGAGAGAGAGGAAGAGAGAGAGGATGATGATATCGTTATTTATTTAGCGCTTTAGAAAAAAGTTTGCTCCCGAACGCAGAGAGAGAGAAAGAGAAAGAAAGAGAGAGAGAGAGAGAGAGAGAGAGAGAAATCATCACAAGATTTCAAATACGCCACCGATTTGAGGATATGAGGGAACTGCTGTGAGATGCAGCATCGTCCCATGATATTAAAGCATACGCGAAATCGATCGATTCGTCTCCGCGTCTAGCAAAAAACACATTTTTATCGAAAGCAATTCACCGCAATTCTTGTTTCGTGGGCGTGCGAAATGCGAAGTGTATTTGCAAAAAATCCGCAGGGAACGAGAATTCTCTCTCTCGTACTTTCTCTCTCTCTCTCTTTCTCTCTCTCTCTCTCTCTCTCTCTCTCTCTCCTTCATCAGATAAAGCGCTACGGGAAGTGCACAGGAATTTTTACCTTCCTTTTGCATAGAACCGTCGTCACTCTCACGAAGCAGGGAAAATAATATCCGCAAAATCCGCCGCGACGTGCATTTCAAATAGAATACTTCTCGAGCGTCATCGCAAATCGCGTCAGTCACAATATCGAGACGTTACTGTAATGCGTATATAATAACGATATAGATATTTAATTCGCGCCGACGCTAAACGCATTTGTAGATGTAATCGCTTTCTAATGCCGAACGGATGCCGTTTATCGTTTAGCATTTATATCATAATGACAGGCTTCAGTCGATACGTTTGTTTCGTTCGGGATACGTTCGCGGAACAAAATCTGCGAATTAAACGGCTTTCTGCGAAACTTTCATTAAAAATAGACTTCGGATTTGTCGGAGAATCTGTGATTGAAAGCCAGTCTGTCAAAGCCTGACGTTATTAAGAACTTCTCATTCTGAAAGACATCGACGTTCTGTATATTACATTCATTTGTTATGCAATTTTCAATATTTGTTGTATTTCAAAATCAGATCGTAGCAATTGCAGAATTGCTCGTTTATCGAAATTTTTAGCTATTTACGGTTAAAAGGATTAATGGAACGCTTTCCGAGTCTCATATGTATACATACACGCGTTTATATACCTTTGTACGTTATTGTTAAATTTAGTTTGGTATATAAAACGATGCTTTTAATCAAATGTGAAAATGAATTCTTCGCTGATTGCGTGTAGCGCGCAATTTGTACTTTATTCATTACAAAATTTCAATATAAAAGCATTCTATTATTTTTTTATAGTCTTAATTTTTAACAATACGCATGCAATTCTGTTCATAAAAATGTCTTCAAATAAAACTAAAAATAAATTATTCAGGTAAAAGGAACCGTTTGAATTATTGGAACGTTTTATTTTTTTTCATACGGTTTAAACGTTTTAAATATTACAAAAAATTTCAATAACGATAATTTTTAAATTCTTTGGCTTTAGGTTCTGCCCTTTTAAATATGAACATAGAAAATTGCAAGCTTATACATATAATGTATATAAATTCTTGTTACATTACTATCTGCATTGTAATTGAAATTAAAATTTTCTATCAAAAAAAGGAAAAAAAATATTAAAAATTTAGATGGATAATTTTCTCGATTGAACCTTTAAAACTGTTCTTTAAATTCAAGAAAAAGATACAAAAAAAATGAAAAGTGATACGAATTTTTTACTCTGTGCAGTAAAGAGGGGGAGGGGGGAGGGAGAAGAAAGAGAGAGAGAGAGGGACAGAGAAAGAGAGAAAAGTGTAATTCACATGTCGTTAGAATTTTATGAATGTTCTTTGTGTCGTTAAAACGGCCGACATAATGAACGTTCCGTCGTGCATTTTTGCGCTGCGTGTCATTTGCCACGAAATCCGAGCGAAATTTCTCCTCGGATCGATGATTACACGGTTGGTTTCGACGTATCAAGCGTAGCGAGAAAAAGGCGAGTGGCCGCGGGCGAAAGTAATAATCTTCGCTTTGTGCACGTCGACTGGAACATGCATTAAGGCCTTTTGACGAGAGACGACTGATGGAAGGGAAACGCAATTGAATTCGCCACCGCTCAATTTCACCGATAATTGAGGGACACCATTCTCGCTCCGATGCTTTCCGTGCACTTGATTCACGAGGTTTCACGCCCTCCCTCCCTCTCCCCCCGCCCCGCCCCACCAAATTTTCAGGATTTTCTTCGTTTTTAGCATTTTTATATTATTTTACTTTTTACTTTTACCTTACTTTATCCTTCCCTCCTATTTTATTTCAACTTTTTTGTTTTATTTCGGTTTCTTTTTTTCCACACTCGCCCCCGGTTCGTTCTCGCACTCACCGTTCTCGACGTTGAGCTCCGCCGCTGAGGCTCTGTAAGAGAGCGGTCTTCCGTAATCGCTGGCGTCGCTTGGATGGAGCAGCAGCTGATGCGACGTTCTAGAATGGTGTCTGGAACCGCCGGAGGAGCGACGCACGTGAACGTTGTTCAACACCGTGCTACTGGACGCCCTACTGAGGGCCGCTCTCTGTCTGACCGCCTCCTTGTAAATCTTGCAGTACATGATGATCATCACGACACCCGGGATCCAGAAGGACACGCAGGAACTGATCACCGCGTACAGCCGGTTCACCACGAACGAGCAACTCTGAGATCGTAGAAGCGAGAGCGCTTTCAGTCGCACGAAACGCGTAGGGTTATCGTGAAAATTCTCTCCTTGCCCCCCCCCCCCACAAGTTATAAATTCGTTCAGAATGAGTATTTGTACAAAATAATACGTAAGAGACTTTTAAATAATTTTTCAAAGCGTAAAAAATGTTTTTTTAATTCTGTATGAATTTGCAATTCGATTTTATGAATTATATGTAAATAGCCCAGGAAAATCGGTTTTTAAAATGTGTTAAAAATGGAGAAGCAAAAGATTCGACATGCGATGCGATATTCATGAATGTAGGATTAAATGAATCGAAAAGATGAATAAACCGTCATTATTTTAACGTTCTTTTAATAGCCGCTTTAATAATAGTTATCTTGTGAGTAAAATTGAAGGATAAATCGTGTGAATATTAAAAAGTCGCTAAAATAAGCCATTAAAGTTACAAAAATTCAAAGATGCTATTTATAATGAAATTTAAGGGGATGCTCTCTTCCATCTCCCATCTTCGTGTATATCAGGTTTCATTTTCTCTATTTAAAATTCTCAAATTTCTTTTCTTTCCCTCATTAACAGAGAATGTGGTGCCATACCTGATTTATTACTACAACGCCAGCGCTAACAAATTGCTTTTTGCCAACGTAACACGAGATAATTTACGCTAATTACACGATTAATTACAGACAAAACTATAGCATCCGTTTTATATGCATTTTAAACATAATTATTGGCCTTTGTATCTAATTGACTTTGAAAAGGCAACGTGGTATTAGCGAGATACAAATTATGATGCGAAATTAATTTCGCTATAATTAAGGGATTGATACACACTGGAAGTAATACAGTTTTCGCGACGACTGAGATTACGAAGGCTCATTTATTGAAAATATATTAATCGAAGGAAAGATAAATACTGCAATTAATCTAATGCTACTCTCTGACAACCCATTAAATCTTAAGTTGATAAGGGGCATTGTAAGCCACCTAAGAAAATATTAATTATTATAAGAAAAATATTAATTGTGGTGATCAACTGATGTCATTATTGTGATTGATACAGCATTTATATAGTTCAATTAATTAAGGGCATGAGAGACATTAATTTGATAAATGCAGTGATTAATCTGATTCTATTTTTGAAGATCAATTAAATTCAGTAATTACTACGAGAGAAAGAACGTCGTAAGTAACTGTGACGGTTAAGAAAAGCGTTAATAAATGAGTATTATCGCTGGCAGTTTCCCGACGAGCTCCGTCTATTAAAAGTCAATAGTTCACACAAGACTAACGTGTACGTAATAGTAGATATAAATAAAATCGTTTATAATATCGCAATTTGTATCTCTGCTAAAGGCAACAAAATTATACAGTGGAGATATCAACGATGCCAATCACATGTCGAGGTCAATATTTTCGCGATAGATAACGTATCCTTTCATTTTCCGGCAAAAATTATATGCTTGTATTTTCTATTTTGTTTTGCTATTTCGATTATTTATTATTTAAATAATTTCACAAAATAACTTGTAAATTTTTTGTAAACAAATTGTGTATGCTTAATTTTTTTGATAAATTATGTAACACTATTTTCTTCTATGTAAAATCTATATGATAATATATTTATACTGATAATATATATATTTATACTGCAAACACAAACGTATCATTGGAACGAAAATAGAATATTCCTGAGTGAAGAATTTTTCGAGAAGTATTGATTACTTTTTTCTGAGATATTGATCTATCTGGGTTATCTGTTTTCTAGATATAATAGACGTTGTTACAAGTATGGATTGAGCATTATAGTCGACAGGCAATGCCATCGGAAAAATGACAAATAAAGTAACAACATGACATGGGAAGACAATAGGAGCTGCAGAGGGATATCGAAATGAGGAATCGTTTTTTGATACAATCTATGAGAGATAAGCAGAGAATAAAACGCTTCGATAAGCGAAGCTTGAAAGAATTCCGAAACAATGTATTGATTCGCTCTGAGATTGGATGATATCAAAATATTATTTTGTTAATTTAAAATTTCGTGGCAATAAACACAAAAATGATATCCCTTGCTATTTTTGATGATAAAAATAATATTGAAATTTATATTTTCAATGTTAAATCCATGCGAGATTTTCTATATGGAAATCTTAATAGCACATATATGTATAAATTTTTAATCTTGCGAAAAGTTTTGCAATACACAATCTCCACTTTTAAATATGGATTTAAGATGCTTTAAAAAAATTTAATTGCTTTAAGTTCTTCGACTGTCTTGCTTGTCCTTTCTTGAAAGTCTTGTTAAAATAAAATATTAATCATAATGTACTTGTGAGATACATTTTATGCATAATTTAGAATAATTATAGTTTTATGATTATCTACATTAATTTGGAAAATTGATCTTGAACTGATCAACAGTAGATTATAAATAAAAGAATGATCAAAAATATGAGATTAAAAAATATGAGTGAAACAGTTGTGTAACTATAAATTAAATTATAATGTGATGGTGTATTATACTGGGGCAAAGAGAAAATTATATCAAATTAAATCTCTTACATCTCATGAATACATTACATCCATGAAATAAATATATCTCTTAAATCTCGCTTAATTTTTGCGTTCGTAAATCAAAGGAATAATTCCTAAAATTTTAGATTTTTGTATTCTTGAATTTTTGAATCTACAAATTCGTAAATCGAAGCAATGTCGGCTAATCTACCTGCGGATTCTTCCGACGGTAATCCAGGTGTTGCTGCGTGGTGTACCAGCCCATAAAGATAGGTATAAAGCTAATCAGGGCCGGCAGAGACCAAGCACTACTCAGCATGGCAGTAACTGTTACAGTCCTCATAATGGCCGGGTACTCGAGCGGTCGGACTATCGCGTAATACCTATCGACGCTGATGCAACAAAGATGAAGGATGCTGGCGGTGCTGAAATAAACGTCCATCGAGTTCCACACGTCGCACATAATACTTCCCAGCAGCCATTTACCGCCGGAAAGCTCGACGGAAGCGTTGAACGTCATGGCGCACACCGCCACCAGGAGATCCGCCATTGCCAAGGAAACCACATAGCGATTGGTGGGCACCCGTAGCTTCCGGTGCCTTCTGACGCTGGCGATCACCAGAGCATTGCCTAACAACGCGGTGACGATGATGCTGATCATTATCACGCCCTTAAGGGCGACTAGAGTGATGTTTCTTGACTCGGCAATGCTCAGGTTGTTTCGAAGAAGGGAACCCTCGATGCTCGAGGAAAAATTGATCTTGAGCGTTGGGTAGACCTCCTCATCCGGAGGCTCACTGAATTCCATCCCAAACCGAAAGTCGCAATATCATATTAAATGTTCATCTATCAAGATCCATCGACATGTTCGTCGATTTTTACAACCGTTTCTGGGTCATGGCGCTAAGGATGGCGATTTAAGTATCTCATTTTTGAGACGAGTCAGATCTTCACATTGTACACGAAAGTATCACTTTCATCATTTTTCAAATCCAAACTATCTATCCACTGCAGTCCAAGTTTTCCAGTTCACAATCACTTTCCATAATAACAGTGATTTACACTCAAGTGGCGACTTAATTTCGTTTTATTTTTGTTTAAAGCAAATCTCTATAATTCTTACATTGTTCGTGAAAATCGTTGCACTTTGTAAATTTGATCGTTGATTGTTTGTTCGATTATAAGCATTATCTGCTTTTAAAGAAAGAGAAATATTAACTGATTAAAAAATGAGCCAATTCTTTATTTAAAAAAAAAATTGATATAAAATGCGAGAATATTTATATTAGAATGTGAGTAAAAATTGTCGTAGAATCAAAAAATGTCATGCTTTAAAAAATAAAATAATTAAATGAAGCATTGCAATTTAATTAGAAAAATTAATGAAAAAATATTCACATCAGTAAACAACGTCATAAATATGTTTGGAACATTAGACAATTTAATTAAAATAAGTATACGTTTAAATAAAGCACTTTGAATTAAATTCCTGAGATTAAATGAAAAATATCTAACTTCTGTTTAATTATTTTTATCTTTAATTATTCTTTTTGTACGTGATAATGATAAATGTGCCGGTTACTTTATCGCAATGTTACGAGAAACAAGAAATAAGACAATAAATCCAGCGTAGATACGGATATAATGGCGGTTTTTTAAACGACAACTTTCCTTTTCTTTTTCGTTCCCCAGTTACCGATCGTGATGGCGAACATCAACAAAATTACAATCGCACTGGCCGTTATGTATGCCTGTTTTGTAGCCGCGAGTATTATCTGTAAATACGTCTGACTGTATTATTAACGACGAGCCACGAAAACGTCTCATCAACGATTTCTCCTTCGCTTTCGTGGAACCGCCGCGTTTTATATTCATATGATCGCACACGTATATAATTTAAGGCCTTCCAACTCTTTTTAGTGACGGATTGACGAATCGAGTATGAACGGTTAAAAATGCATGAATGTAAAGTCCCATTACTGACACATTTACAGATAATTATGATAGATTTTCTCATTAATTCCACTTTCGTCGATACGTTGATGCCTGATTTCGATTAAAATAAATTTATCGATCTATATAGTTTTGCTCTTCGGTTAGTTTTTATTGTATTCTAAAATTAATACTTATACTAATTTTTTATGTCCAATTTTAATTAATATTTAATATTAATGTAGATTTTTATATGTTCTCTTCAATATTCCATCTTAATTATTTCTGAACTATTTTTTATTGATTTGAATTGAGATATTTAATAATATCTCAATTATTAGTATTTAATTATAGCTAGAATTCTTTTCTTAATTAATACATTTGATATAAATATTAAAACTTGTAAGAAAAAAGTTTAGATACATTCTTTTGAATCTTACTTTATTTATAGAGACACAATGACATCCGTCATAACAACTTAATTTTGTCGCAAAGTTACTTATCTACGATTAATTAGATAATAAGATAATCCATCAAAATTTTGCTCAAAATTTGGAAGGCGACAGTTTCCAACTGCCGACAGTTTATTAATATTTATAGCGAAATTCGCGCAGACATCGACCTATCAGTGTAACTTTCCTCGCGCGAAACTTCCTTCCCGGTATCGGAAAGACAACTCGAGCGAAACTACAGGGAGATTCCCTGGGTAATTGCTGCAATTTTGGAAGCTCGATTTATCCTAATCATATGATCGTAATCGCGATCACATCTTGATGGTGCCACGAAACTAAATCTCTCCTAATAGTTATATATTATTAATAAAGTAGAAAACTAAAGAAATAAGAAAGAAACAAGTAATAGTACGCTATGTAATTTTTTTTCTTTCGTTATTTTTTTACACGTTTATATATTTAATATTTTTCTATTGAAAGTAATGATAAATATATGGCAACTGATAAACAATGTTATTTTCGTAAAGATGCGAGCTTTGTTATTTTCTATATGTTGCAAAGATTAAGATATCTCGGAGGGAAAAAGAAAGTGTCTCATATTAATTTTGCAAACGGCACGGAGGCAAATTTACATCTCGTTTTTGTTAATAAAGCTATTTCCATTACGGTGATACTTCTTCAAATTTTAATAATGATACACACGAGCGTGTATAATAGATGTAGATCACTTATGTTGGAAGTGGTTGAAATTTCGAATATAAAATACAAGTACATAATCTATTTTGACGTGAGTTTCTCAAGACGCACCTTATGTATACCGCTTTTTTTTCATTATGCGAGAGCTTATAAAATTTTCGCGAACCCCTCGCATAAAAAATCTTGCCTCTGACGAGAATTTAACGTGAAAATTAACGAGAAAATATTTGTCTCTTACTTTACATTCATAATTCTGAATGACGCACGAATTAATTTTATAATTTTATGTAAAAACAAAAAATTTTTTGTAAAAGACATACGTTTTAGAATTCCAAAAATAAGCTTATATAATCCGAGAGATAATTATCTAGAGTGCTATAAAATCTTACATGTAATGTATGTGCGGGAATTATATTACATTATATATAGAAATTTATTACATATGACTTTTGCGACGTTTACATGAAGATCTCTGTATAAATTTTATATGAAGAAAGTGACATGAGATTTCTCGCATTGCAAGATCCTAAAATTGTAGTTTTCTGAGTTGGTGGACAAATTGGGCCTCGTTTCCTTGCCACGAGATGATATCTCAAGTTTCGCGGTAACTCTAGGGAGTGATATTTCCTTATTAAGCGTTAAATATTAATAACCGCAGCCTTCGCGGATGTTTGGCCTCCTCCGGGCGGTTGAAACGCGGACGGTAAGGCAACCGAGAAGGGGTCAGGGTAAGGAGAAGTTGACAGTAGAACAAGTTCAAGAGAGGCCTGGATTTACATACTGCAATATTCATAGAGATGGCTCTAGCTTTAGCCCATTAGCAATTACGCGCTATATGTATGAGTGTACGTACACATACTCAGTATTGCTTTTATTGTCAAATAATGCGACGAAAGAGTTAACGATAATTCAGTTATCGAAAATAGACGAAATTGAAATAGAATTTGGAAGAAAATGATAAAACGACAGACAGAAAAAGATTGATGATTCTCGATTTTTCAATTCACGATGTCAAACATTCTGGAATAAATCACTAAATTCATTGGCGTTATTTCATTATTGCTGAATCCATTGAATTCATAAAATAAAATTATTTTACAAATAATTTTGCAAATAAAATTTATTTTATTTTAAAGATTCATAAAATTGTATTAATGTATTTATAAATTAATTGTAACTTTAGCTATAACTTCATTAATTAATTTATTATTAATTTATTATATTCTTTTTATGTTAAAAATTATTATATTCTACATACAAATGATAAAAAAATAACGTTCAGTTTTCTTTTCAGCTTTATTTGTTGAGTATTTAAAAATATATTTTACTTTTTAATTAAACATTCAAGACCTTCCTTATTTTATATTTTACTAGAAATAACAATTTTATCTCCTTTCTAGTCAAAATATCATATATTTTTATTAAATATTATGTTGTCATTCTTTACTTCTAATCGCAATTGTCATAATTCCCTTGCGATATTTTCTACTTGAGCTATTCAATATATACCGACTTTGAATTAACCTTTCGATTGGCGAATTGATTCTTTTGTCCTCCACGCCTTCGCATCTGCGAGAATATGGAAGCAAATAGAGTTTTGAAAGATCGACGGACACACATTCGCGCTCTGCACGTCAATATGTGTCAATGGATCCCTCCTCTCTCTTGAAATTAAAATTTAAAAAATGTCGACGTATGTCATCGGCGATTCAATCGATGCGTGCATGTTTCCCGGTTGACAATTTATTTCTGTGAAGGATGTATGTCATTGTGAAATGTCAGATTACGTAATTTTAAAATGAATTATTTTCGCGGAACGGAATTGGGAAGCGAGCAATTGTGAATTTTAATAATTCTGTGTCATTAATTGTCGATTAGCAGATTCACAATTAATTTTATATTTCTGTGAATTATATCCTGTACGTAACTATGTATATATGAACTTACACGGCTAGATTTCTCATAGAATTTCCTTTTTCTCTATACGTATAATTTATATTTAGCGAGATATAATTTCTGTTTGTTATTTTAAAAAATTTATGGATTTTAAATTGCGCGTATGTGCGTTTTTAAATTTACAGCATTTGATAGAGAAAGAGGTTTTTCCTCCGTTTATAATATAAATGGATCATATTCTAGAAATTGAGAATAAAAGAAAAGCCGAGCGCGTCCTGAGAAAATGTCGGAATTCGCAGAACAGATTTAATATTGCGAGAACAGAATTAATCGTCTTCGTAAGGAATGAATAATGAGAATGCTTATGTGATTTCCGGTTTACAACCGTATTAAATGACACTGAGAGCCTTGTACATCAGTAATACTGAAATGCGAAGCTGTCAGTTTGAGTGCCAATTCGTCTAAAACGTAAATAGGAATGACGATTGAACTGCGGCCAACGCGTTTTACGCATGAGAAATCGAAAAGTTCGTTCTCGAATTATCAAAAGTGCAATTTTAGAAATATATGGAGACAAAAGGCAGAAAGAAAGAATTCATACAATGAAGATATTTTTGAAAAATATAAAAAGTATAAAAAATACATTTTATGTATACAATATGAAAAAACATAAATTTTAAAATAAAGTATACAAATATTTACTGTCAAGTTACTAAAATTAATATTGAAAATAATAATCAAATGTCAATGAAATAATAATTGGTCAATACGAAGAAAATTAACGCGTGTTAAGTTTTTCGTTATCGTTATAATATTATTAAGTATAATCTCGGATATTCCAATCAAAATTTTAAAGTACACTCCTCAAAAGTTCCAAAGGATTAGTTCCGAAGGATTAAGCTTATTTCACGGTGAGAATTAAAATTTTCGTAAAACTGTCATAGTTTATCGTAGAAGTTTCGGACGTTAATCGCTGGGATATAACTGTATCCCGGTTAAAATCCTGAAGATTAAGTTTATTTCAACGCCACTGCGACGAAAAAAAAGGTGAAGACTATCGTTGAATTGGCAACCTTGAGAAGAGAAAAAACCCCGGCGGATCACCACGCGCTATTTTATCCGTTCACCCCATCTATTTTCTCTCCGTTTCGGAGAGAACGCGGAGAAATTAAAAGCGCGTCTCTACGTCTAGACGCTGCACGGAGTAACCGCGACCAAGGACGCCGCGGGAGGCGCAAGCGCCTCCGCGGCAACGCTTTAATATTTCTGGCCAAGGAGGAATATGGTTCACGATAAGCGTTATCGATATCGCGTTACCGATTCGCTCTGAATTGTTTCAAAACGGTGAAGGGCAATTAAACTTCGAAACTCTTTCACTTTCTGTCACCATTCAGAAAATAAACCACGTCCTTTGAATTAAACCACCCTTATGAGAACGATACTCTTCACATTTAGCGCGCTTCGCAACGGAACGCCAATCTTCGCACTCGCGGTCTCTCGATGCGATCTAGGATCGATTCCGCCAACGTCAGTTAGCGCTATTCGTAGTCAACGGGATATTATTATTATTGATTATGCCAGAGTACCAGTATTGCCGCTTAACTGCGACACTTTAGCTGCGTATATACATCTAGCATGGGACAAGCAAGTCTTTGTAAAAACAAATAAAATATTAATTGTAACTGGGATTAATTGTAACTTGATTAAATTTTAAATAATTCAGACGTCGAAATGGTTAAAGAAAAGATTTGATAAAAAATGTTGAATATCTAAGGCTTTTCGTCGTTAATTTATGACATTGTTTTATGATAATTAGTATGAAAACAATAAATTACAACGCAAAATTACGGTGCAAATAAATTAAGATTGAATCTTCCTCCGTTTAAAACTTTTTTTATCCGTTTATTACTTTTTTTTTCTACTGAGCACTACTGAATATCACTTATGCCGAATACTACTATCGTTAAGCGTTACTACTTGAGTTTGTAATCTCGATTGAATTTCAGTACGTTTAGGTACAAGTTGAGTATTTTTCTAAAAGTCTTCCGTAAATAACAGGGCAGCGATAGGTTTATCAACCACTGTTTTTTCAGAGGTTTAAACTGCACTCTTAGTTAGTGGAACGTTGGCAGGACCGGTCCTAGAACATCGGTGTTTCACTCTAATCCGCGACATGCTGTCGGATCGATCTTTCGCGGGCAAGGTCGCGACGAGACCGTCGTCGTCCCCGTTGTTGTCGTCGTCGTCGTCGTCGTCGTCGTCGGCGGCGGCGGCGGCGGCGGCGACGATCTCGAGCGGTGGCGAGTAGTAACGCCTTGACGGATCGTACATGTTCGGACGACGCCGGTAGACTGAGCGTCGCGACGTTCACCACGGCGCCGCGTTTCTCCCCCTCGGACTCTCTCGTTTTCTCTCTCTCTCTCTCTCTCTCTTTCTCTTTACCTCTCTCTTCCTTTCTCGCATAGTGCCGCCCTTCGTCGTGTGTTCCACGAATGCGTGAAGAAAGGGATACAAATGCGGGGGATATCGATAAGTTGACCTTTGATTCGAAGCATCCATATTTATCCAGACAAGATAAAGAAAAATATGAGATATATGCGCGAAATAACAATATAAGATATATATATATATATATATATATATATATGAGAAATTTTTACACAAGATCAATTTGACATACAAAATTCATAAGGTAACGCAACCGTAGAACGTCGCTTTGACGTTTGACTTCAACGCCCTCAGTCATTTATATAGATAAATATAAATTTTATATGAAAACATAAAGTACGATGATAATGTAATATAAGGTGAGTTTAAAAACAATATTTCACATAATTATCCCTCTTCACCATGCACACGCTAAATACGCTTTTTATTATGTAAAATATATACACTGGTATTTTTAAATAGGTTTTTTTTAAGCAATTAAATGCATGAATTAAAGTATGAATTAAATTTTTTCTTTCCCTTTTCGAAAAAGTGGAGAGGCTGTTTGCCCTATTCAGAGATACGCACAAACTTTAAAGATATGTAATTTTCTGTTATAATTTGAACTTGATTAATGCAATCAAATATATGAAAAAGGAAAAGTGCGTCGTGCAGGAAAACGCAAGTAAAACGAACGGATCTATTGTTTCGCAATCGCTAACGACTTCTCCGGACAATTCTATTGTTCGGATGATATAAGGTCGCATATATCCGGATTCTCATATAGCTCGGATATGCATAGAGATGCATTGTCTTGCGCCGTCCAAATATTTGCATACACGACATAACATGAGAACACGAGAAGGGTGCAGTCGCTGATGCTAATTATAATATGGAAAGCGGGCGGTCTGCTAAGAAATGTATAGCTCGTGAATCTTATTTTTACCACGAGTGCACCTAGCAGTCCGTCGCTTTGGATTGCGCGTAAATGCAGTTTCAAATATAAATAATAACGGTGCACTAATAAAGTTAAGCTCTTCAAAAGAGAAGAGAGAAAGTATTGTTCGAAAAAACTTAACGTAAGTAGCTTGAAGATCTCTCAGTAAATTACTTGCGCAGTGAATGCGCAGAAGCATGACGATTGAGGAAACCTTGATCCGCGAGATCTCGAGAAAAGAAATGACGTTTTATTGCCGCAACCTTAGCGGCGTATTATACTAATTTGTCTCAATAACTGCACATGCTCGCTAACAATTCAGCCTCAATCGATGCCGTATTTCGCAACTCTTGTATCGCCGCCGTATACCGTGCCGTATACCGCGCTAAAAAGAAGCTGAGAACAAAAGTTTATGAACATCACGTTTATCTGCAAAACACACACGAGGGCACAACAAAACATTCATTAATAAAATGTTTCTCCCGTCAATACATATGTATATCTGCTGAATTGATTGTCTGAAAGAGAAAATATATATAATAAGGCTGTTGCAGTATTAATACTGGAAGAAGTGTTACATATTATGCTCTCGGAGAACCAATGTTACGAATTATTAATGCATTATATTCTGTATATGTTATAATCATACAATTAATAAAGAGTACAGAAGATTTGACCTCCATGTAGAATTAATATCAAATTAAAAATTGCAAGAGAAAGAGAGAGAGAGAGAGAAAGAAAGAGAGAGGCAAAATTCTTCTTACGTACTACTGTTCGAGTTCGTATGCGTGAGATCGATCGGCTCGCGGGGCACGTAATAACGACGAGCGGCCTTCGCGCGAAAGCACCGAGGCCGCGCACGTGTTTCCCTTCGCGTTCGCGCCGCGATTTTGCTGTAACTACACGCTCTCGTTTTCTCGAAATCGCCTCTTCGAGGGTATCGCTTCCTCCTCGAGGGCGCGCGCTGCTCGAAAGGCGGCGATCACGCGAAAAGCAGGAGCGACCGCACGCAACGACGAGTGAGCCAGTTTCGTGTGCCTCTTCAAGGTCCCCTCGCGTCAAGATTCGAATTTAAATAAGGAGTTTAACGTGCGAAGTGCAATTTTGTTAAATCGATATGCGATAGAGCGTGAAATTTTTGAATTAATTCAATGAAACGATCTGACAATAAGTAAATTTTTTGAAAAAGTCATTCATATTCAGAGAAAAGCGGTAAGTGCGAGGCTTTATACTCCGATCGGCGAGAACGCCGGAAGATTACACCGACTCCTCGTATTTACCACTTCGTTCTAACTTCTTGCTCTCTGCAAAGATCTTACATCTGCGTAGTAAGTAAAAAGTTCCGATCCAATTCCGACGACCGCAACCGTAGAGGGCGAGAAGTTTTCTCGTGCCTCACGAACTACGCACGTTTTGAATGACTGCGAAAGAGCTTCACGCGAAATTATATGTCATAAATGTTATCTGCGACAAATATTCGGATCGTATATATATTAAGATCGGAGTCCTCCTTCTCGAGTTCTCTTCAAAGATGAGATATTTAGGACTAGCTATTCCTCGTCGAAAATTAAAACGGTCTTTTTCTCGATAAAATTTAATTGAACCATCCCCTATCTTTTGGCTTTTTTAACATTCATTCAATGTCTAAAAATACAGCTAAATTTAAAAAATTGAGATAAAATTAAATTTAAAAGAATTATTTAAAAAAAATTAAAATAAATGAAAGAAAACTAAAACTAAGTAATATATAAAATTTCGTAATAATTAACACTGAAAATGTAAGTGATTGAAAGACAATGAGCATCTACATACGATTAATTCGAGGAGAAGGGACTATATGTTTATATGATGTAATTTTTTAAATATTTGAAAACTGACCTTAATTAATGAATGAATTAAATTATTTTGAAAAAGTAATCTTTTGAATTATTTTCCTGAAGATGCGAGATGAAAGCTGACTTGGACACATGGCGCCGTAATTTACATTCGTTATCTGTTCTCCGATTGTGTGTGTGACTGCCTGGTTAGAACACTGTCGTTTTTCCAATACTGTCCACTTTTCACAGTCGGATCCTAAACCGGTGGTGACACGTGCCGTGTCCGTATTCCGTATCACGGAAATTGATTTTACCTTTTGTCCGATGAATCTTTTCATCTGTCTCAGGGGTAAAATTTTTTATGTCTATCTGATTTTCTTTTTGAAGAAAAAAAACTTAAATTTTATTTGAATAATTATAAGTATTAGTCGATATTGTTTCAGAATAATTTAGTATTTTTATCGTGTAGATATTTTGAATTTTTATTATACTGTATAAATAACATATATTGGGTAGGAAATACGGGGAAGGTCACTCCACGTATTAGTTTTATAAAATGTTTATTGTTACTGTGGCTTGTATAATACAGAAGAAAATATTTATACGAACTCGGACGCGTGAATAACTGTCGATATATGAGAAGACTCGGCTTCTCATACGTCTCGCGGTGGACTCATACGTCTCGATCTCTTACTTATGAGAGGGCTCGGCCTCACGATAACTTCGAGATCTCGTTTTTACATTTATACTTCGCTGTGAAAATCGTATCTATCTAAGCCCGTCGGGTCCCTTATATAGGGAAACTCTCGGTGAGCATGGGCCAATCATGAGTCATGCGAGAAACATGGGTTAATCCTGCCGCTTTCTCTTTTTTTTGTGCTAAAATAAACATGTCGAACGAGACGTCGGACGCGACGTCGTGCGACAATGCCGGCGCCGAACTCGGCTATTAAACCATTTATTCAAAGGATGCTTCCTTTATAGTTTGTCCGCCGTGTTTGCTTCCCGCTCGCTCGGCGGTGCGGGATGCGTAGTGGGCCCACTCGAATATACGCAATAACCATGTATGCAACATATATATTTCATATATTTTATACCTCACGAGAAATCATTGTCAGTGTTAAAATAATATTTTATAGGCCTGATAAGAAAGCTGGAAATAGTTAAATTCGATATACACGTTACCCACGAATCTACGATTTTAGATATCATTCCATGTTATCTAAAATTGTAGATTCGTGGGTAACGTGTATATCGAATATTTTATACCTCACGAGAAATCATTGTCAGTGTTAAAATAATATTTGATAGGCCTGATAAGAAAGCTAGAAATAGTTAAATTCGATATACACATTACCCACGAATCTACGATTTTAGATAACATATGGAATGATATCTAAAATCGTAGATTCGTGGGTAACGTGTATATCGAATTTAACTATTTCCAGCTTTCTTATAAGGCCTATAAAATATTATTTTAACACAGACAATGATTTCTCGTGAGGTATAAAATATTTGAAATATATACATTATTTATACAGTATAATGAAAATTCAAAATATCTACACGATAAAAATACTAAATTATTATACTTATCACGATTTTGAGTAGAAAATAAGGAAAATGTAATTAGTAATTCTGAATGATTAGTAATTAATCAATTACTGCCTATATTCTAGTTTACTTTCTACTGAGTCTCTTAGTAGGTCGCTAATATGATCTCATTTCAAAACCGAAGTTAATCCTCATACCAAAGTTGCATTTAAAACCGATATTTCAGCTATAATTGAAATTATAGCTGAAATATCGCTTGTTTTTATCATTCATTTACGATGTGATAATTAATAATTATAATTAAAGATAAAAGAACAAATATTCAAAAATGTAAGTAATTATATCAATAGAATGTAAATAAATTAACGAATATAAATATATCAATAAAATTGTAAATATGCATTATTAACTTCAAGAATAAATTTCAAAAATAGCTTATGTATCGATATAAAGTATTGAAGATCACAGATTTATTGGTAACAAAAAATTAATCTAACTTTTAACTACACCTCA